TCCTTTCCAGAGAACTCCGAGGAAGTGATCTCATTCTGGGAAATGTCCAGCTTTCCAGAATGTTCTGTATTTCTCTTCCCCAAATTTAAAGCTGAACTCCAGCCTTCCCTCCACATGTGTCACCACTTTGTAAGGGTGATGTCCTGCTCTGAAACATTTGAAAGAAGCTCCCAGCTTTTTGTGTCTGCAGCCCCTGGCCGTCTCCCGTATCACGCCTGCGGCCTCTGACCACCTCCCGTATCACGCCTGCGACCTCTGACCTCCTCCCGTATCACGCCTGCGGCCTCTGACCACCTCCCGTATCACGCCTGCGGCCTCTGACCACCTTGCGGCCCCTGACCGCCTCCCGTATCACGCCTGCGGCCTCTGACCGCCTCCCGTATCACGCCTGCGCCCTCTGACCGCCTCCCGTATCACGCCTGCGCCCTCTGACCACCTCCCGTCCTGCGTCTGCAATGTCTGGCAGCGTTCTGTAGCACGATATTCATTGCATGTTCTGTGCAGCCATTTTGTGATGGCGGGGGGCCACGCCTGGGGCCCGCTATTTACAAGAAGTTGGCCATCACTGTTTATTGTTCATCAAGTTTACAGAACTTTTGCAGGAACTAAAGGAATGAATGGATGGTGTGACCGTGTGATCAGACACGGCAGCGGTTGTCACGTGTGTAGTCATGTGACCTCCTGGCGGTAACTGAAGACATTGTCACAATGTATCTCTGTCGTGTTTTTCAGACAAGCTGCTGGTGATCACCGTGGCCACCGATGAAAATGAAGGATATCACCGATTCCTGAGGACTGCCCGGCACTTCAACTACACCGTGCGGGTGAGAGAGTGACCCCGTCCCGTCTGTGTGTCACCCTAAAATCCACCCTGTGGCCGCATTAATAAAGAGGGATCTGTATAGAATAGACTTAAAGTGGAACTCCAGGCAGATAGGACACATCAGTAATGTATATATTTAATAGAAGCCATGTGACCCAGTATTTGTACAGCAGAAGGTCTCAGCTGCCCATATAGGAAAGAAGGGTGACCCCCGGAAAGAGTAGAATGATCACCCTTGCTGTGCAGCTTGGTAGATGTGTGTGGATCACAAGACTGGCTGGACAGTTAAATATCTAAACCGGCATATATGTGTTGGGTGGAAAGTCCCGGTGCCCTTGGCTCATGTTTTTATGTTGTCACCCTTTGTAGACGCTGGGCCTGGGTCAGGAGTGGAAAGGAGGAGACGTGGCCCGTACTGTGGGAGGAGGACAGAAGGTACGATGGCTGAAGGAGGAGCTGGAGAAACTACACGAGCAGGAAGACCTGATTGTCATGTTCGTAGACAGGTAAGAGAACCGACCTGAATGACTGATCAACACGATCCTCAGATCCATAACGTCCATAACATCTCCCGTCTCCGTCTGCCGCTTCTCAGCTATGACGTCGTCCTGGCCGGGAGCCCCATCGAGCTGCTCTGGAAGTTCCACCAGCTTGAACACAAGGTGGTCTTCTCCGCCGAGGGCTTCTGCTGGCCCGACTGGTCCCTGGCGGAGAAATACCCGGCTGTCAGCAACGGGAAACGCTTCCTGAACTCTGGAGGTGAGTTGTGTCCGACCTCCGGTTCCTTCACATCCCCCCCCACATTCCACATACTCTACACCCCCTGTGTATCCAGAACCCCCCGTCATGTCCGCTCTCTCCTCCTGATACAGGGTTCATGGGCTATGCTCCTCAGCTCTACAGGATAGTCCAGCTGTGGAAATTTAAAGACCACGACGACGACCAGTTATTCTACACCAAGGTCTACCTGGATGAGGAACTGCGGGTGAGTGCTGGGACCGACGAGGTCATCTCTCTTCTCCATTCTCCTCCTCTCTTTCCTTCACACCTTCTTCAGCTACTTTCTCTCTCTTCTTCTTTTTCCACTCTCTCTATTCTTTCTTCCACCATCTCCCCCATCTTATATCTCTTCTCTCAGCTTTTCCCCTCTCCTCTCTTTTCTGCTCTCCTTTTTTTTTCTCCTCTTCCCTCTTCACTTCCCTCTTCACTTCTCTTCTCTCCTCCTTTTTATATTTTCCTTTTCTTTCTCTCTCTCCTCTCTCTCTCCCTCTCCCTCTCTCTCTCTCTCTCTCTCTCTCT